AATATCTTACACAAACAACTTAAGAGAGGAATGGTTAGTGTTTGGCTCACATTCTGAGGAGGTTCAGTACGTAGCCTCTTGACTTCATGCACTAGGCATCATCACCACAAGAACAGCACATGGTAGAAGACATTCATAGTAGACAGGAAGCAGAGAGAGGGAACACACAGGAAGATCAGCCACTCAGGGACACATCCCTAGTGGCCTACGGCCTCCAGCAAACTTTCAATCTTCCCAATAATGCCATTGTGTGGTGAAGCCATTAAACAATGAATCCATTGATTGTGTCATTGCCACTGGTAATCTGATTACCTCTGCCTATGTCATCGGACACAGCCAGCGCTCTAAGCTCCCAGGTGCTTCTGGAAACCATCATGTTGGTAGTCAAGGCTGAGAGCTCAACGGATCCCCCTGGCGGCTGCTGCCACCTGGACTTCACTTTTCACCTGGAGCTCCCCTTTCAGCCTGATGCAGTTTGGAGAGGCAATAGCTATTTATTTGACTCAAGAAGCCATTTGCAGGACCAGTGAGATGGTTCAGTAGGTAAAATCCTGGAGATCTGAATTCAATTCTCAGAACCTTCCTAAAGGTAAAAGGAGTGAATTGACTCAGCAGTGCTCTCCTCTGGCTCTCAGATGTCCAATGTGGCATGTACCTTCCAAAATACACACAATAAACAGCTAAGTGAGTGGTGAGAGAGAGGGGGGGGGGGGCAGGGAGATGGCTCAGCAGTTAAGAGTACTTGTTGCTCTTGCAGAAGACCCAGGTTCTGTTCTCAGCACCTAAAGCGGTGGCTCAGAACCATCAGGAACCCCTGTTCCATTGGATCTGACATTGGAGGATGTTTTTGTGCCCTGTGTGTACAAATGCTGATTTCTATACACAGAGGTCTGGCTGTAGTCCAGACTTTGGCACTGTCATTATTATGATTATAAACATTGTTCTCCATCACCTTCTGGTTGATTAAATAAAGAGCTGAACAGCTAATAAATAGCTGGGCAGGAGGGGATAAGGCAGAGAGATATTGCCATGAGAACATGGATGGACAAGAAACAGCCAGGGTGAGACTAAGATAATGGGCCATGCGGCTGGGAAGCAGGCCAGGCCAGCATAGTTTAGAATAGCTCAGTATCTGCCCAGCTATAGTGCTTGAAGCTTTTTTTTTTTTAAGGTTTATTTATTATGTAAACATTATACAATGTTCTGTCTGTCTGTCATGTACACCTGCATGCCTGAAGAGGGCACCAGATCTCATTATAGATGGTTGTGAGCCACCATGTGGTTGCTGGGAATTGAACTCAGGACCTCTGGAAGAGCAGACAGTGCTCTTAACCTCTGAGCCACCCTGAAGCTTTTAATAAATAGAATAGGTCTCCATGTCATTACTTAGGAGCTAGAGTCAGGCTATAAAAGTCTTATTTTTATAATCTGATGCCTTGTTCTGACCTCCACAGACACCAGGAACAAATATGTTACACGGGTATACATGCAGGCAAAACACCATGCCCATAAATTAAACTTTTTTTTTTTTTTTTTAGGAACATTTTCCCCAGGTTCCAGTGTAAGGACAATGGTTGTCCCCGGGGACAGCTCTGAGAAGCACAGTTACTTCTGTGGCCAACATTCTTTTCAAGGGATGACCACAAATCACACTCCGGCCAGCAATGTATTCCCACTTTACCAAGTCTAACCCAGAAAGCCACATGACAAGCTCATTATCTACCTGCCTCCACTTCTGGGAATGTATCCTAAGGGCATGTAAGAAAAATGCACAAGGAGACCTAGAATAACAATCTTTGGTAAAGGAAAATGTGAAACAAATAAGAGCGACTAATGTGAATTATGATAAATTTATGTGGGAGAATGATATATTTACATAGTAGGGGAGGGTAAATTTAGGTAATAAAGATGAAATTCAAGTGATAGGATGTTTCAGATTTTTTAACCATTACGTAAACATTTCAAAGTGTACTGCGGTGTAATGAAATGTGTAAAAATATCGTTTTCTTTGGTTGAGGTGGTAGAATGGGGAAAGTATCCCTTGTGGGACCCTGAAAACAAAGTCCTCTCTCCTCTCCCTGCCCACTGCTAGACCTGGGGCTGCAAAAGGCCCTGAGGCCTGCCCCAGAATTTACAGCAATATAAGAAAATTTAGATGTAACGTTATGTGTTAAAATTCAAAATAAAACCCACATGCTTAGCATGCCTTACTCTTACAAAATGCCGCCAAGCTCACATACAGTCGCCTTGTATTATGATACTGATGATTGTCTCTTTAGGACATTAGTGTTTTATTAGGCTTTTTTTATTCCAAAATTATTTTCTCTCTCTCTCTCTCTCTCTTTTTGTTAGAAAGGGTCCCTTTTTATCTCAGGCTGGCTTCAAATTCACTATATAGTCAGGACCCTTCTGCCCCCACCTTCCAAAATTTGGGATGATAGGCATCCGCCACCAGGCCCAGTGTTTTTCCTGCATTAGTATTGAACCCGGGGCTTTGTGCAATGCTAGGCAAGCACTCCTTCACCTGAGATACATCCCCAGTCCCAATGCACTGCTTTCCTTCTTCTCTGCTGGGGAATCAAACCCACGGCCTCATGGATGTAAGGCGTGTACTCTCTCAATTGAGCTACATCTCAGCCCCTTCCAAAACTGTCTTCCTCCCACTTAACTTATAACCAAAGGCTCATTTAGCTTATGGCTTTGGAAGCACAACAGAAATTGGAGTGAAGGCCCGTCTTAAATGTAACACACCGAGGCTAGGTTGCATGTGGGTATTTCTGGTCTCACGTTTTCTTTAATGAACATAGACCATTGTAAAGATGGAGAAAATGAAAGCGGTCTTCATTTCTTTCTCTCCTAATATTCACCCTCACACAGTTGGCAACAGGAGCTCAGGGATGTTTCCTTCGGGTGTGGCCTCTCCTATGACTGAAGTTGTAATAGATCCATCCTTGAGTTATGAGTGAGAGCACACAGTGTCTCATTATGGAAACAGGCTCTGGTCTCGCCATGTGGCAAGCAGCAGCTGTGTTTCCTGACCTGTGCTCTTACCTCTCTCCTGGTGCCGATAACCATCTCATTGTGTGAGGGAGGAGGATAAATGAAAAGGGGTTCTGGGACAGTCGTCATCTTTCTGTGTCTTAACCTGAGTTCCTGTTGCAAAGATCTTGCCCCGTCTTACTAAGCTAGACTGTCATTTTGCCTAACATTTCTGTACCTGCCTTTCATTAAAAAAAAAAAAAAGTTTTAATCATAAAATATAAATAAAAACTTACACACTGATTTTCATACAACCCTCCTCTCTTTTTAGTTTTAGTAACACTCCCCTCCATCTCTGATCCTTTCTGCAATCTTTTGGACATCAGACCCCCACTGTGACTCCTCCTGCTGTCTGTTGCTGGAGACAGCTAGCCCTCCCATCCATAGCTTCCATATGCACATCCAACCAAGTTCAGGAAGAAAGCGTCGGGGATGGGGGGGTTGCATCCGAACTGCAATTCCAACTGCACCCCCAGTGCACACAGACTTTTCTTCTCGTCGTTTATTCCCTCAACAATATGGAACAGTGGTTCAAAATGCATTCTCATCGCATTAGGTATCAGAAGTAATCCAGAGAAGGTTCAAGAGGGTGTGCACTGCCTACATGCAAATGGAACTTCAATTTGCAGAAGGGACCATCAGCATCCTTAAGTTTGGGTATCCACAGAGGGCAGTGCCTTGGAACCAATTCCCCAAGAACACAGACGGGTGACTGTATTATGAGTTGGGATTAGAACTACATCCTCGTTTTATTGAAAATGGTGTCAGAGCTTTTGTTTTTTATTCCCTTTGCTTTTTGGGGGGGGGGTGATTCTGAGAGGCCGGGGAAGAATTATCTTCACAGCACATGCTAGACTCTTCAGAGCTCTATCTTGGTTTTTAGTATTATCATTGTAAGATCTTTGGGTCTCCCGTAGCCTTGAAATTTTCTGCAGTGAATATGAATTGCTTTAAGGCAGTGGGCTTACACACAGAGGGAAACATCAAAGTGCCGGAGAGGACTGGAAGCGCCTGCCCCTGCCTCTTCCTCACTCTCAGAGCCAGCTGGGTGGAGAACGCCCGCTCTCCTTTGACATCCTGGTCAGGGTGACTTCTAGAGTCTTTTGCTCTGGGCTGGGGGCATTTGTTAAACAGACTTTGCCAAGCATGTCAGCTCCTCTGCATGCAGTATGATGCCTCCCAGGCATTTTGAGGTTAACCTCCAAAACTACCTTCTTTTTCTTCCTCTATTTTTTTTTCCAAGACGTCATTTCTCTGTGTAGCTCTGGCTGCCCTGGATTCACTTTGTAGACCAGGCTGACCTTGAACTCACAGAGATCCTGAGTGCTGGGATTATAGGTGTACACCACCCTGCCTGGCGAAACCACATTCTTCTAAGAGAATTCAGGTGTGCATGTTAATGTACCCAAGGCTTTATCTTCCCAGTGATGTCATTCCAATCCACAGAGGTACATTTTATCTACCCATACATTTTTATCCCCTGCCATGGCCACACATGAGGGATACTTTGAGACAGATGCACTGGCCCAAGAACACTTCAATTTTCATTATTGTGCTATTGTGCTCAAGGCAATTGAAACGCTAAGCTCTAAATTGCCTCACGGGTACCTACAGGCTCTAGGCTCTTGGGCCTGATGAGAACCACATAGAGGTTCAGAAGCCACAAATAGTCTAATTCCCCTTGGCCCATTTGAGCTATCTCATACGAGCACCAAATTTCTAGTAAGGCTCCGCCCCTCCTTCCTTCCAGACAACTCCAGGCTTCAAGTATTTCTTCCTCTGTTTCCTGAGGCCATCTACCCCTTTGCCTCAGAGAGTTCGGGCTTTTAGCCTACTTGCCTTCCATTTTGCGGAGAATCTTATGAGAATTGATCTATCCAATTAAGCCAGGAAATTGTTCCCTACGTTTAACACGTCCATCAATCGTATCCACAATGGCCACATTGATTTGGAGGGCCGAGGCTCTGAGGTGATTTTTATTTAATCCAGCACAAACTCCATTTAGGTTTCCCTCTCACAGCCATCATTTCTCAATTTGGTTTTTTGCTAAACTCAGCTTCGAACGTATCTCAGGAATTATCCTCATCAATGCTGTTCCCCATCTCCAGGTGGGAGCTGCTCAGGGCAGACCCACATCGCGCCTGCGCTGTTTGCCTTTGCTGTGCTTTGTGTCCTACTGGTGGCAAGTTGTGTTTACCCCCAGCTCCTTTTCTGAAAGAAGAATGTGTGTGTGGTGTGTGTGTGTGCACATGAACCCACACACAGAAAGATAGCCACTACTCAAGTCAAACTCCACGGAGGTTGCTTCCTCCATCTTGAGAAACCATCTGTTACCTCAGAGCATTGCACTGATGGGCTGCACCATGCCAAGGGGGCCCACACACATATGCACAAAGACAGTTCCATTTGGAGACTGGATCTCATCTTTAATTAATAATGCCACAGCTTAACATCCTTTTTGTTGCTGTGGCAGATGGTGTGTGTGTATGTGTGTGCCTGTGTGTGTGCGTGTGTGCGTTCCTGAACACATGAGGGGCTAGCAGAGACTCCCAAGCAGTCCTCAGCCAACGACTCTAGAGCAGCAGTCTCCATAGGCACGGAGGCCACACTCTGCCTCCTATGGTCTTGAGTCTTCCTTTCTCCTGGGCCACCTTGCGTGCATTCTGAAGGCAAGGCTAAGGCCGGCCTGTGCCTTCAGGTTAAAGGGCCTCTCAGCATGGTCCAGCCTCCTCCAGTTCTCAGCCCTCACTGCCCCTAACCAGAGGGATGTCCTTGGTCAAGATATAGACCGTCTGACAGAGGTGGTCAACGGAGGCCAGCACTGCTCCTCTGCTACCCTGAAAGAGCAGCACCAGAGAGGTCCAGCCCTGGGTTAAAACCTCAAGCTGCTGGGACATTTGATGGGACAATTGGCGAATTTCTTTCATCCACAAGCTGGGATGTAGCCCAGGCCTTTGGGGGGGGGGGTGTCATTAAAAACGGGCAGACTTAGCTGGTGGTGGCTGTTGGAAGTCATTTCCAACCCAAACCTAAGAGCCCACTCTCTTGCCATCTCTACGCTCCAATTTCCTCACATGCCCAGTAGGTCTGCAGCTCCGACGTAGCAGTGGGGGGGAGTGATGGTGGGTCACAGGAGGCCATGAGACCTGGGCTGAGCTGGTTTCGCAGCCATGTGCCAGTGTGAAACCAGCCCTCTCTCCCATGGTCAGTGACAGCCAGAGCTTTCTGAAGCCAGATGGGACCCCCACAGGCCAGGCAGCAAGTTCTCGGCCCAGTGCAGAGGGGAAAACCAAAGCGGCTCTAATGTCCCATTCCACTGTTCTGTGCCTTGAGAAGGCAAAGAGCCCAAGTCCCAGGAGGGTGGGATCAGCTGTTGGGGAAACAGCGCTGTCCAGGCGAGGCCTCGGGCCGGAAGCTGGGCTTGTTCAGTGGGCTGGGGTAGTAGGTGGTTGTATACACATTGGTCTGCTGCAGGGGGTAGAAGTTGGCTCTGTCGTCAGGGATCAGGTTGTTCTTGTTCAGGGTCTACGGGAAGCAGAAGAATCAGAGAAAGGAGAGAAGAGATAAGGAAGGGGCCAGCTCAGGGCAAGGAGTCCCTGGGCCAGCCATTAAGGAAAAGCCTAGCTGTTGATACAGTACTTTCTGTGACCTGTGCCACCCACCGGTGCCCTGCACAGAGCCAGGACCATGGCACCCTTCACCCTGCTCTTTGTTTCACACAGGGGTTCCCACCTTGAATTCCATGGGGGTGTACTTCTCATTTTTGGGAGTGCCCCCTCCCTTGTAGTGCAAATGATTAGGGGTGGCCGGATGGACGAGAGTGGATTCCTGAGATTGACGCTGGCAGCGCTGACAAGACAGGTACACGGCCAAGGTCAAGAGCCCAGAGCCCAGGAAGCAGGACACACCAGTGACTACCAAGTGGATGAGGCCGAACCCTGGAGGAAGATAGGCAGGGGGTGAGGAAAGGGTGGCTGTGAAGAAGGGGACCTTCTGGTTGTCTTGCTGGGCGCAGAAAGAGCTCCAAGAAGTTCCAGGACATGGGGCCAGAACAAAAGTAAAGAGAGAGGATGGGGAAGGCCGTCACCAGGGCTTTCTCTCTCGGGACACTCTGTAGGTGGAGTGAGAAGTGACAGTTGAAGATAGGTGGCTTTTCCTGGATGCAGACTGATGACGGCCTCCTAGCTGGAAGGCCTAGGAGGGAACTGGACAGAGCTTCCTGTGCACGACCTTGAAGCCACGTGGGGTCCTCCCCAGGTTTGGCTGTCTGCACCAGAATTAGGAAGAAAACAGGCTAGAGTGGTGGATGCGGGACCGAGGGACAGGGACCTGAGTGAGTTTTTACCTCCACAGCCGGTGGTGGTCTCCTCCACACTGGAAGCAGGTAAGATGACTGTGGGGAGACAGATGAGGAAGGTTAGAACAGAGTGAAGAGGGAGGGGTCTCTCCTGGCCTGGGTGTCACCTAACAGAGCCTGTAGGCCAATGGCTTCAGGGTCCTCACTCCTTCTAGCTTCTCTGTAACCCCCTCCCCCTTCTCTGCAGGATGGCCCATTCAACAGGTGACTAGTATGAGAGCCCCAAGCACCAGACAAATGTATCATTTCTGATGCTTCATCCTGTACCTCAATCTCTACCTCAGGCTTCAAGTTTCAGAAGGTGAAGGGCGCAGGAGCAACGAGAGTGTGCGTGCGTGCGTGTGTGTGTGTGTGTGTGTGTGTGTATGTTGATGGGGATCGAGGGGGAGATGGCGTGAGGACCTACCAGGAATCTCATTGTAGGGACAAGGCCTGCTCTGGCTGCTGTTGCCAGCACAGGTACCTGGCCCTGGGACAAGCTCCTCACAGCTCCGGCTCCGGCTCTGGGCCCCCTCCTCAGTGCAGACACCCCACTCAGACCACAGCGACCAGCCTTCTGCGGATTGAGGTTGGGGCGAAGTTGAATATCTAAGGATCTTCCTGTTGAGGCTTAACGGGACCACAGCTTCCCCCAACCCCAGTCAGATGTCCCCGGTACCTGGGCAGGGCTGCGTAGAGCACAGCGCCTCCTCCGTGTGCAGTCCGAGGCAGACGTCCTCACCCGGGGATGGCGCAGGGCTGGAGCAGGAACGGGTGCGCTGAGAGTGGCCGCCACCGCAGGATGCTGAGCACTGGGACCACGCGGTCCAGCAGGACCAGGCACCCCGCACTGTAAGCGTGGGTTGGGTGTGTGAGAGAGGCTGCCCCGGGCCTCACGCCCTCAACACCATCCACCCCACCCCAACCCCACAGGTATTAAAAGGCCGTCCCCCAAACCCTACAACGGGGAGATGGGGTTGCCCGAGGCTAGGGTCTCCTGCCACAGCCTTACCCGGGCAAGCCTGCTGGTTGCAGTCTTGGTACTCCACGGCCTCTCCCACGCAGGGCAGCCCCCCGTTGCGGGGCTCCGGATTGGTACAGGTTCTCTTGCGGACCCGGAAGCCCAGCTCGCAGTCCCGGGAGCAGGAGGACCACGCGCCCCAGGCGGCCCAGCCTCCGCTGAGAGAGTGCGGGGAGGTGTTCCCGCTGCGCAGGAGATCCTCCACCAGGGCTGCAGAGGCCGGGGGTGGTGGGGGGGGCGAGCTTAGCGACCCTGGCACAGGGCTGCCCGCTTCGCCCCAGCCCTGCCCGGCTCCCGCTCCCAGCCCCCACCCCACCCCAGCCCCCACCGCTCCAGGCCCTTACCGTCGGTGTCGCAGGCTCCGGTGCCATCCGCCGGGCAAGTCCTGGTCTCCGTCCTCCTCTTGCCGAACTGCAGACCGTGCGGGTCCGGCAGCGGCGCTCGGCAGGTGAAGCGGAAACGCTGCTCCTGGCGCGCGCCACCCTGGGTCACGTTCACGGGCAGCCAGGGCGTCCAGGGCGTGTTGCGTCGCACTTCCGGGCAGGCCTCCGGGTTGCACGTCTTGAACTCCTTCGGGACGGAGGGTTGGTTTCCTGAGCCCCCGAGGCCTGCGGCGCTCCCCCACCCCGCCCTCAATCCCCGCAGCCCGCACCCGGCCGGCCGAGCGCTCTCACCACGCCGCAGCCCGGGCAGGTATTGCCGTTCTCGCAGGACCTACGGCGCGACTGCACGCCGCCTCCGCAGTTGCTGCTGCACTTGCTCCACGAGCCCCAGGAGGCCCAGAAGATGGGCACCGGGCAGGGCGTATTTTCGTTACAGAACCTGGGGAGAAGGGAGGCGCGTCACCCCGGGGAGAGGTGCTGGCGTTCCCGGCTCCTCCAGGATCCAGGTTGGAGGGTGCTCGCATCCCTGCCTCGGCCACGGCTAGCTCACCGCTCCTCCCGGCTCTTGCCCACGCAGATGCGGCCCCCGTGGCGGGGCGCCGGGTTGCTGCAGCTTCGCTGACGGACCTGGAAGCCGATCCCACAGGACGTGCTGCACTGTGCCCACGATGACCAGGCGGTCCACGCCCCATTCCTGGTGGGGTGGGAGGGGACAGAGACACATGCCCCTCTGAGCCCTAGCTTCTTAGATCTGGGCTGCATCTGAGGCAGATGGACTGGCGAGACAAGCGACAGAAAACCTCAGCTCCTAACCAGGCTGGCTCAGGCAGATTCGTGCATTCATCCTCAATGAGCAGCTTGCTCATTCATGCCTCAAATATGTATTGAGAGCCTTCTTCCATATATCAGGCTGTGCTCAGGGCCAAGGACACAGTGATAGGGCCGGGCCCCTACACAGACAGGCAAAAGGACACACTCTTTAGAGGTCTCTCAGTTACCATTCCAACCTGAAACCTTCCTCTCCCCCTTCTCGGACACCCAAGCCTCCTCTTAGACCTCACTCTCCCCGCTTCTCCCTTGCGTTAGCTTTCCCCAGCCTCAGACATTCATGCCCAAGTTCACCTCGGCGATCAGAGTTGGACTCCTGAGAGCTCCTGGTACCTTTATCTACATAAGACCAGTGGCTGAATTCCTGCCCCTTGAGGTTGCTGTGAGGGTTATTTCAGTGGGCGCAGATAAACTAATTCTTTTAAGTCCCCATAATTATGGGTTAGTTGTGATGATAACCATTTTATGTGGTTCCCCGGTACCAGGAAGTATAGTTCTTTACAGACATTATTCTTTTAACCTTCTCAGCAACTCTCGGTGGGGACTATATTCCCTACTTTTTTAAAAAAAAAAAAAAGTGGCTAGAGAGGCTGGCCAAGTCACTCCTCTAGAAGGCGCGGCCTGGGATCATCCCCCAGGAGAGATGAGCACTAGGAGGGTCTTCACACCAGTGAAACCCTTCTTCCACTGATGTGAAAACTCTGCTAGTGCTGACATCTCCTGCCCCAAACATCAGCTCAGCTTCCTGTCTGGTCCCCAGCACTGCACTGAAGTTTAAACTCCTGGGTGAGACGCCCCATTTCCCCAGTTCTCTCCACGTGAGTCCTAAACAGACACCACGCAAACCCTGCCCTCACCTACCTGGAACAATTGGCGATATGGATGGATGGCCCCAGGCATTCGAGGCCCCCACAGCGAGGCCTTGGCGAGTCACAGGATCTGGCCCGGCACAGGCAAGAACCCGAGTTGTCTCCGTCTAAGTGCTCACACGGTTTCCACGGTGACCATGGGCCGAAGCCCCCATCCCGTGTCACATTCCGTACCTGCAGACTCATATAAGGGGCGAGACTCCTGTCACACAAGGCGAGGACGGGCGGGGGGAGGGAGGAAAGCCCAGGGCATGTGGGGCATATACTGATGGGGGCGGAGGGGGCGTCATAGCTGGCGTTGAGGTTGAAGGGTTAGGGGAGGGCCCACAAGGGTTCTCACAGGACAGGCTGTGATGTTCTGGATCCAGAGGCTCATGTTGGAACTGTCCCCGAGCGTGCTGCAATGTTGGCGTTTCCCGTCCCAGCCACAGTAGGGGTCCCGAGCTTCCAGGCAGGCCCTGTGAGAGGGAGGTCCTGAGACTCAAGCTCACTGGCTTCCCAGTGTCAGCTTTGTCTCTAGAGAGCTCCTGGACAGCCCCACTTCGGGCCCCAGAGTAGAAATATTCTGGTTTTCTTCTGTGAAAGAGATTAGGTTCCAAGTTGGGGATTTAGCTCAGTGGTAGAACGCTTGCTCAGCAAGTACAAGGTGCTGGGTGGAAAAGAAAACAGCTAGCTTCACTGTGCGCCTGCTGCGCTGTGCAACTGATATCACTTACAGCAGTTCCGGAAGCACGGATGAGTACAATACCCTAACCCGGTGAGGGGGGCCTGTTACAGTTCCGTCAGGTGGCAAGAAACCCAGAGAGCTTAGCGAGGATTCAGAACTGAGGCCGGAGACTGGACTGCTTTCGCCTGAGCTGGGGGCCCCAGTGCTCCTCGCCGGGGACCACTGGAGGAGATGCAGTTGGCAGAAGTGCAAAGAGATAGCCCTTCGCTGTCAGACCCTCAGAGCATAGAGTGGTTCTTAAGCTTGGCTCGTATGAAAATCCCCTGAGGACCTTGGAAACATTGGTATACGAGTCTGTGTGGTAAGGTGGTTTTTAAAGCCACAGGACGGTGCTAAAGGAAGCCCTGGTGTGAACCACTAGGATGGCCAAGTCTCTGTACTGGTACAAAGGCTGGGAGGGAGGTTTCCCAGTGATCTCACAAATCGTATCTCACAAACCTAGGCTTCCTGACTGTCCTTCCTCTTATTTTCCACCTGCGCAGCAGGAGGTCCTATTGAACTTTGCACCCCGACTGGATGTGGACCCATTTTTCAAAACACAGGATGCCTGGTACAGTCCAGGATCGCGTGTGGTTTCACTGTGCTTGAGCTGTTTTTGGGCAGAGAGCGGCGGCTAGCATTTTAGCTTTGGGAGAATGAGCTGAGCTGCTAGGACAGGGTGCTAGCCCACCCAGCTTTCCTGGCCACGGGCTATCCTTTCTGCAACGCCCCAGAAAAGACAGTGGCTCACACCCCGGTGCATGTCCCAGACGCCTTCACTCCTCTTCCAGGGATCCTTTCTTCCTTTCCTTCTGATTTATTCAGGTGACAGGGCCCTTACATTTTTAACTAAAAAAGTTAGATCTCTGCTAGCAGGACTTCAAGGCGAAAGAAAAGAGTCTTGTGATTATTTGCCGTTCCCTGCTACTCAAAGACAGTTCCAAGATTGTGGAGGCAGAGGGAGGGGGGGCCTCCAGCCTCCTAGTGAACCCACTGCCACGCCAGGGCACACTCCATCCTTTTGCTTGCTTTCCAAGCTTACACCTGGCTCTGATCAGCTAGGGAGAGTTGAGAGAGGGCAAAGGCAAGGGCTCCAAAAATGGAGGTGGGGAGACAGGAGAGGCCTTGAGAAGGAACAAAGGCAGTAAGAAGATGGGTGAGTGAGTTCACAGCACCATGCATGCTTACAAAGGGATTTTTTTCCCAGTGGCCGAAGGGGCCAACGCCGCTGAGAGCCAAAGAGATACACACAGGAGCTTACAGCTTTTGGTGTCACTAGGATGGAATTCTTAGTTTTCTCTTGAAGCTTCAGGGACAGTCATTTGTCAGTCATGGTTTAATAGCTTGACTAATTAATGAGTTGGTTCATAGATAAGGTCTCCTTCTATTGTCCAGACTGGCCTGGAGCGCACTATGGAGCCAAGGCTAGTCTCAAACTCACAGTGATCCTCTTCAGTCTCTCAAGTGTTTACATTAGATGAATAAGCAACCATGCCAGGCTCCTGTAAAAGGAGGCCTTGGAGGGAGGAAAGGAGAGAGAGAGTGACAGACAGACAGACAGAGAGACAGAGACAGAAATAGACATAGAGAGAGAGAGAGAGAGAGAGAGAGAGAGAGTTGCAAAGCAGACAGAGGAGGAAAGAACTGAAGAAGACAGTGCTAGCTCCTGTTCCAGGCTGGCTCATGATCTTGAATAATCCAGGTAGTATTTTGGGCATTTGTTGATGAGGTCCTGATTAGACTCCACTGAATACACTGTGGCCTGTCTGGGAGTCCAGAGTACTCCCTTGTCTGTGCTAGTGAATCTGTTTCCTCTTCACCCACTCAAAGACAACATTTACACATTTTATAGCATAAGCATACTCAGGCTTTGCCTCTGAGACCAACAGTTTGATTTCAGGGTTTTACTGTTGTCTTCTCACCAGCAGAATCTACCAAATGGGGCATTGTGGGATTCAAAACAATCCATGTGCACAAGGAGAATTGGCAACCTATGGTTTCGAGACGCTGCCCACTGACTGAGAGGTGGATCAAGAAGAAGCAAATTCAACCAGTTAAAACTCAATAGAGCCCATGACTTGCTATGTGATGTCAAATAAGATCCTCTCTGTGTGTGGAGACACATGTGCACGCTTGCCTGTGCAGGCTGGAGGACGATTTACAGGAGCCTGGCATGGTGGCTTATGCATTTAACCCGAACTCTTGAGGGACTAGGAAAGAGCATCCCATGTCCACCTCCCATAGGACAGGGTCCCTCGCTGAGATACAGAGCTCACCAATTAAACTAGATTGCTAGGCACAAAGCCCCAGGGAACGTCCTATCTCCACCCCCACCCCCCACCCCCGTGATAAGTTTACAAATGGGAACCATACCCGGCATTTTTATGTGGGTGTTGTTAGGGGTTGAATTTGGGCCCCTGTGTTTTCCAGACAAGTGCTTTGTTGACAAAACCACCCTGAGAACCCCAACAAAAGCAAATGTCTGCTAGCAGAGAGAACGGTGAAAGGTGGAAAATTTGAACCCACTTATGAAGGACTAAAGCAGAAGGTTCTGGAGAAACCCAGTGTGTCTCCTGTTCTGCTTCCTCTAGACCCTTTTGGTGTTTAAAGCAGTAGTTTCCAGTCTTGAGTGCAAATCCCAGTTTCCAGGGCACCTTTTGAAAGGCTTAAGCAAACAGAACAAAACGCCTCCCTTAGTTTGGGCCTCTGGGACTAGAAGTCCAGGCGTTACAATCTTTAAGCCCCGATGAATAGTAACAGTTGAAAACTTCTATTCCAGGGCCATGTCTGTCAAAGTCCCAAGGTCCCGACAGAATAGGGAGACAAGGGAGAAAGACAGAGTAGAAATTGGCCCCACTTTTCTCACACTCTCCGCCTTTTCTGACCAGTTAAGGTCTGGAGAAAAAAAAAATAAATAAGAGACCAGACTCTCTACGGATAGCCTATCCCATCAGTCTGAGAGACTTCAAGACTCTCTTCGCCAGGGCCAGGGCCCCCTCTTCCTCCTGCTGTCCCTGCTCCTGCTGCTGCCATTAACTAAAGGATTGCCAAGGCTCAGGTGAGTCCACACGCACTGCCTTTGGGCCAAAGGGCACTTCAAAGCTGATAGAACAAGGGACATGCTTTAGAAAATGAAAGCTCCATGCTAAAGAGCATGAGCGTGCCTGCCAAGGTAGGAAGTGGTGGGGATTTAGAGTTCTTTCGTGAAAGGAGCCATCAGGCCAATAATACATCACCGTGTCTTTTTTATTGCAGTGTCTCTGAGCAGCCATTACAAAGGGGAACAGGTTTATTCCACTGGCTCACAAGTAGGACAGAGATGGATGATGGGCATCATAAACCAGAGGAGCCTGGCTCCCTGCACCAATGGGTGGTGGAGGGGAGCTTTCCAGGGTGGAAAACAGCATCATGGGGCTTTTGAGCATGTGGCAATTACCTAAGAACACCCAGAACAAGGATCTGGTTGGGGAGATGCCATTGAGCCCGGGCCTAACCCTGAACACTTGGGGGCAGGAAGAGGCTATCAAGAATGAGCTACTACAGAGGTGAAAGGCCTACTGGAAGGAGAAAAGAGCTGACTCATGCACTGAGCATCTCAGCTCCTCTCTGGCCAAGCCAGAATATTTTTATATGCTGTGGAACTCGGATTGCTCTAATTAAGGGAGGTAGAGTCAAGCTCTGGATGCTAGGAGGAGGAAGGGAGGCCGGGCAGTATCCCTGCTAACCCACCTTGATCTCCCTGCCAACTTTGGAAGGAATGGGGACAAACATGCCTAGCGCGTAATGAAGTTCCCCCTCTCGACAGCGCTAATTCTGATACACTGTGATTGGTCTTGGTTCCCTGACACAGAGGGCACAGCTTGTTGGAGGCATGTGTTTGCTTGTCTCATTTTCTTAACTTTTTGATAAGATGATTTTGCGGTTTCTAGGTTTTTAGATCTACCTGCAATCACATTTATCTGTCTGTCTATCTATCTATCTATCTATCTATCTATCTATCTATCTATCTATCTATCTATCTAATGTAGGGGACAGGCATGCTCTTGTCCTGGCCCACGTGTGTGCGTGGCCCCTACCTGTAGCTTTATAATAGGATTTTCACTGCACACTTGAGCAGCTTGTAAAACCAACTCAGGAGGCAGGCCTCCAGGCTGACCTTCTGCCACCTTGCTGCAGAATGGCGGCATGTTGGGGAAACTATACAAGCAACCGATCTCCTCTGCAGCATCCCGAGATTGGAGACCTGTCCCTACCCCCCACCCCATCCTCTTACCCTGTTGCAGTCCGGCGCCTTTGCAGTGGGCTGGAGCCACACTAGCCCACCACAGACCTCCATCTGTCTCATGACACATCCTGATCTGCCCCATGGAGCACCTGTCTGGAGAGCCTGAGTGGCCTCCTCAGTTGGCCTCAGTCCACTCTCTACACCCATTCCCCAGGTCTCTCCTGCACCAGCCTCTTCTCAGGCCAAACAATCAGTTAGTTAACCGAAGCATCAGTCCCGGGTGGAATGTCACCCCCGTGCTGGGCGGGGTTGACTAGTGAAGTATAAAAAATATCAGGCCACTGGGTTTTTCATGAAGGATTTATAACCTCTCTGAGAATAAGGCACGTGTTAAAAGTTTAATATCGACACAAGTGTTTAAAGAGAACACGGAAACTAGGAAAACACTGTCAGCAGGTAGCCGCTGCTTTCCGGCCAAACAGAGCTGTCTGTATCTGGTGTCGTAGATTCAGAGACCAGAGAGCTCAGGAGGCTGGAGCCTCCTAAAAGCAACTGCAGAGGTGAAAAAGGAATAAAGATCCTGCCTACCCTTTGTGACTTGGCAGCCTAGGCCCTTCATGAGTCCCAGGCCTGATCTTTACACTTCTGCCAACATTAGACACCACTGTGCCATCAAATCCCCCCAGTTCCTGGCGAGAGAACCGAAGCTCAAAATGGCCACATAGTCTGCTTAAGACCATGCAGCTCATGGAGAGCGGAGCCCGGGGGGGGGGGGAATCCCATGTACCTCTATTCATATCATCCGCATCCCCCCCCAAGACACCCTTCTGCCTTTCCCAGCCGGCAGACCTAGGCCAGGTTTCTCTCCCTAACCACATCTGCAGTGTGGGGGCTGGAGTACAGCCCAGGCACACAAGTCTCCCCTCACACCAACAGCTCAAGGCACCCTGTGTGTGGCGGGGCTTTGTAAATGTGTGTCCCTCTGATGAAAGCATGGATGGGGGCTGAGATGGCCTGCCACCAGCGGCCCCCTACACCCCATCCATCCTCCCTCTTCCCCTGTCTGCAGGCCTCTGTCCAAGATCCTAGTGCTCTCAGAGAGCAACCCTTGGCAGCCCTGAGCCCATTTGTCTCCCAAATCCCAAGGACAGATGGCACAGCCAGGAGGACCCGGCTGCAAAGGCCACCAAGTTCATGTGGCTTTTCTGATGATCACACAGAGGAATGGATGCAGCTAGGGCAGCCTCCAGAGTGGGGACTTTGGGACACAGTTCCATTTGGCCTTGGCTTCTCCCCTTAAATACTGCTGCCAAATCTGTGACTCCTCCGCTTAAAGCCAACGTGATCGAAAGCAATGGGATACTGCGGTTCTTCCACCTGGCCGCCCCATCTGGCTGGTCTGCCTCCAGGAAACGTGAAGACTCAGGGGCTGACCCCCACGGCCCCACATCTGGGCAAGGAGTGCTGTGGTTTGAAAGGCAAAGGTCTCCCTCTGAACCAAAGGGCCCGAGAAACAAATCAAGTGAGCTGAAGATGGCTAGCAGGCCTGAGCTATGGGACTGCCCACAAAAATAACAGCCACCACAATTCGATAAGCGCATGGTTTCCCTCAGGCAGCGGCAAGTGCTGATTAACACTAATAAAAAATCCTCCCGAGAGGTTTCAGGTGCAGGAAACCAGTGTTTGGAGAGGTTAAGTGACTTGTCCAAAGGCACCACCCCATTGGAGACCCGCAGGGATGCTTCGGCAAATGGCTTTGACTCCAAAACCACACCGCTTAAGCACGCCACCGCCTCAGTGGCATGACTGGCAGGATAGCGCCCACCACTTCAGACCCCGGGGTCCTCCTGCCTCAGCTTACCTTTGGCTACGGTAGGCCGAGCACCTCTCCAGCGGGACCCGCAGCACCTGGTCGCTCAATCCCACGAAGAGCGCACGCGCGCTGTGCAAGATGCGCAGGCTCCGCAGAGGTTCAAGGCGCCCCGGGGGCAGCACATGTAGCTCCTCCAGGTAGCAGCCACGGAGACTGCGGCTGGCGGTGGACAGCGCTTTCAGGATGGTGCCTGACTCTGGTGGCCAGAGGAAAGTGGCTTTGAGGCAATGGCTACTCACAGCCACCTAACCTGCCCAGCAGCAACCACTTCCGCATCTCCAGTGCAGGCAAGCCCTGCCCCCTGCTCCCCCCGCCCCCCAGCTCACCCGTGCCTATGTAGAGTACATGGTAGAGCGTGTCTTTGGCTTGTACAAGGTCCACCACTAGATGTGAGAAGCGGACGCTGTCCTGGGTGACACAGGGCTCTGGTGTCACGGGTTGCACGGCTTCGCTCATCAGGAAGAGCCGCTGCGCATCCTGCAGGCTGCGCTCCGTGAGGTTCTCATTGGGCCCAGTCTCCGGCAGGGTACCACACTGCCACGAAAGAACGAGTCACTGGTGTCTAGTCCCCACACTGCAGTAACTGCCATGGTCTCCTTCCCATCCATGGGGGCCTTGGGTAGACACATTCTCCAACAACCCCTCCCCTGGTCCTTAGCATTCTTTCTAGACCCCTGAATCTTTTCCAGGAAAGGATGAATCTTCTTTAAAACTGGGGGAAACTGAGGCTGGAAAGATGAGGAGGAGAGACCTGCCAGGGTTGAGGAGGAGGATAGGAGGGCAAAGGGACAAATCATTTGAATGTGAACAGTGTGCTGTGATGGTAAGACGCTTCCTAAGTGGCCACGCCCACGGTAGGCCAAGCTGTTTTCTCCTACGTCCCTACCGGCTCCAAGTTCACACCTTCTAGGCTAAAGCCGGAAGGCAACCACCATTTGGGGGCATCGAAACAACCTCTGCACAGATCCATCTGCACAGATGACCTAGTATTGCCCTGTCCTTAGTTCCAGAAAAGGAACAAGAGGCTCAAGGGAGTTAGGTGGCCGGCCCGACATCACAGAAACGGCATGGGTCTGGCTCAGAACTGATGTACTGAAAAGCCTGAGCCTTTCCAAGGCCACAACACCCCTGGGGCAGGCAGTTGGAAGGACATGAAAGTCAGCCTTCCAGGCTGGGCATGGTGACCCAGTTCCAGCACTCAGGAGGCAGAGACGAGAGGACTCTGTGAGTTCAGGGCCAGCCTGATCTATAGGGCCAACACAGTGAGACCTTCCTCAAAACCAACAAGTCTGCCATCAGCCTCTATCTGGGGGTGCATGTGCTACTCATGATACCCGAACTACTGCCCGAATTCAGAGATCGTCCAGGCATTAGTGTCCACACGGTACATAGTGTGAATGATCTCCAGAAAAAGCACCCAAAGTCTCTCCTACTTTGTAGAGTTGAGGTCCCTGTCTCTCTGGGCATGTGGGGTCAATTACAGAGATAGCCAGAGTAGGGGGCTCCCTAGCTCTGCCTCTCCTCTATCTCCTCAATAACCATTTGAGGATTTACCACTCTCTTGGGGACCCATCACGGATTCCCCCCCAAAGACAAGCCTAGAGCAGCCCTGTGCTGAGCAGTTAAGAGCCAGCTTGTGGTTGGGAACAGGGGAGGGGCAAAGGGGGAGAAGCTGTACCTGGAAATTGGGGATGGGGTTGGCAATAGGAAGCCAGGCAGCCCTGGGGTTCTCCTGGTAACGAAACGGGCCGTTGAAAGCCCTGGAGATGGCACTGAGGTTGAAGGCGCAGACGGCAGAAGCCGCGATGCTGTTTCTAAAAGGCAAGAGGTAACAGAATGCGGTGCTTCCTTTAGGATCTGGCCCTCCTCTGGGGCCCCTCAGCCCACCACCATTCCCAATCCCCCAGGTGAGGAAGTGGCTAGCACGAGCCTGGAGACTTCTGTGCAATGAGGGGTGTGTAATCTGCACACTCTCCCACCCAGCCACAGGAAGATCTTATTGGCCAGAAGCACGGGGGGGGGGGGCAGTCCCCTGGTGCCACTTCCTCATCCCCTTTCCTTATTTGAAGAGGGGTGGAACACAGCCAGTGGCCTACATTAACAAATATATTTTAGGGCTGGAGAGACAGCTCAGTCGTTAAAGGCTGAGAAATATGAGAAATGCATTTTACATTACATCTATATTGAAGTGTCATGAAACAATACTATGCAAGCTAAATACGTTATAGTTTTGTTATTTGCTTTCAATCTGTTTTATGCGTGTATACTGTATTAAATAGATGGTTAGCAAACCGCTGGCTCATGCTGCGGCCTGTAGCTTGCAGGAGTGGGTAATCTCTGCAGCCCTTCCAGGCCCAGAATCAGGTCTCTATGAATGTGGAGTGGCCAGCCCACAGAGATGCCATCGTCACACCCCCAAGCCCAGTTCTAGTCTCTGCATTGGTTTCTCTCCCAAATGTATCCATTATCCTCTCCCTTTGCCTGGTCCCAGGTCTCCCTGTGCCCCTGGAAGCTGCACTGTCCTTCTGTTGGCCTCCCTTCAACCTGGATAAGCTCCTAATCCATTCTGCACAAACCAGCCGGTGTGCAAGTTGCCAGACTCACACCAAGTAGCTCACTGGCCTTTTCCAAATCCCCCCCGTAATGTCTCTTTGACCATCGGGTAAAGATCAAAACTCCATGAGCAATTTACTATGGTCCTTGGGATACAATCCTCCCAGCCCTACTCTTTAGCATCTTTCTTGACTTCCCTTTCTATGCTCTTGTCACACTGGCTTCTTCTCAGTGCATGAGGCACTTTTTTAATTCCACCCAAAGTTTTTCATAAGTTATTGTATGGGCCCTAGAACGTCGTCCTTCAGATCCCAAGAACGTCACATCCAATAGGAAGCCTCCTGTGACCGCTCCTCTTTCTCTCTTTGTAGAAGCTACCAAGGTCAAAATGGCTTGCTCAAAATATCCTGTCCACTCTCGAATATCACCCCAGAGCCATGACTGCTTTTGCTCACTGCTGTCCACCCCCACTCCAGGACAAGCCCCTGGCATGGAGGGGTTACACAACAAACGAACGGCTTATAGTCCACATTGATATTGCCATTTTCTCCCTTGATGTCTCTCCAGCTCTTTCTGTCTTCTGCTCATAGACACCCATCCTCCTACACTGAGAGCTGGCCATACTTAGTCATGGCCAGCAGGCTTTCAGCTCCTGGCCCGTGTGAGCTGTGCTGAATGTCTGTCCCCTGGCCTGCCTGCTCTTGCTGGCCAGTCTCACCCACACCCTTGCCTGTCTCCTCAGACTGTCCTTTCTGTAGACAACTTGGGGGGCATCCAGTGCCTGCCATCTGAAATCGCTCAGGGGCTCCCAAGCTCCTGCTGTCCTTACAAAATGCCCTGCACAGCATTCCCCGCTGCAAAGGCCCGCCTCGCTCTCAGTGGTGCCTATTCATCACTCTTAACCTGAAAAAACAAATCAGGTTTGTTAGCCTCCACCTCGAGGAGCAGTGGAGGAGAGTCTGACGTCCCTGGGAAGGTTGCTCTTCCTCACATCCAAGGAAACAACATGGGTGTCAAATGCCAGTTTACAGGTTCTGGTGTAGTTGGGAGTGGGGAGGCAGAGGGCTTCTTAAAATGCTCTGGTTTCAGTTTGGAAGGGACCATAGAGCATTTCTGCCTGGGATGCCACCCATTCATCCCAGGCAGGCTTCGCCACTGGGCTCCTCTTCTCCTTTTCTGCACATCTGGCCACCAGGCAGCCCCCTTCACTTTCTGCACATCTGGCCTGAGCCTGCCCTTCCCAGCCACTCAGAGCACAGGCTGCTTACGACTCCTTAGGTGGTAAGCCACAGATGACCAGCTTCAGGAACAAGGAGATCTCTGCTTTATGGATGAAGACCCCAGACCCTGAGAAAGGGTCTGCTGAGCCCACCAGGCTGCCAGGCTAGGTAGGAAGAGCCCTGAAATAACAGGGGCGATGGGCAGCGGGGGGGGGGAGACTCACACGTTAGTGGTGAAGACGCCATAGATGAGGTCCTGTTCGGGCAGATGGAAGGCACTCTGCAGCTCGTTATAGTAGAAGGGGACCTCTCCTGGGCGGGAGCAGTTGAGCCGGGCCTTCATGAACGTGGTCCACGTGTCCTCCAGCAGGAAACGGCCCCCTACGTCATTCTTGCACACCCGGGCCACCCGGGAGTATACGGTGCGCCCACAATCGTGCTCTACGGCATTCTCCCGAAGGAAGAAATACGCAAACAGCCCGATGTCAAAGGCTGCCACGAAATTTGGCTCTGTGGGAGATGGAGAGAAGAAGCCAGAGCAGGAAGGACTGGGCTGTTTCAGTGTTCTTAGGTGGGAATCTTGAGCCCCTCACCCAGGGCTCTAAGTAAGCCTGTTCCCACTTTCACTGTAAAATGAAGCACTCGTGTTTATTAATAGTGTTATTGTTAATAGTGTTATCTCACTGGACAAAATTCACTATCATAAGAACTTTGTTGGTTCATCCATGTAAACCTCACTAGAAATCATAAGGCAAGTCCCTAGGACTACTTCCCACTACCGATGAGACCATCATGGTACAGACAGGCTCGGGCCAATCAGCTAGGTAGTAAAGAAATAGATTCAACCTCAAGGGGTAGGACATTCATACCAACTCCCTCATTTCTTCCTTAACTTCTCCTTTCCCACAACCACTACTCCACCCAAGGTCTTACTCTCTCCCCTCATAACCTGCCCTTTGTCTGTTCTGGGTCCTCAGGACATCTGGGGTTCAGCTTCAGCATGTCTTGGTTTTTGGGCGAACATCTTCCCTGTCCTAGCCACTTTCTTGATGAATCAGCGGAGACAGGAAAGGCCAGTGGGGTTTGGAAGGCAGGACGGCCCTGCCCCGGGCCTGGGCCACCTTACCATTGAGCCATTTGGAGTTGTACTGGGCAGTACGAAGTGGTGGCCCACTGCCCAGGCTGCGGTAGATGGCTGGGTCCCGACCTGAGAAGTCAATGACTGTGGCCGCATAGAGCTCGCCCTGGGAGGAGATGACGGCTGTGGAGTTGTGGCGTGGGTCATAGGGGCAGCGGGCCACACCGTTGATCTTCTCGATAGTCCGGCTGAGGTTCCCCACCTGGAGATGATGGGAGAGGAGAGCTTTTCCCTGGCATCCTGGGGCCACCCGGTGTTTCCAAACTTAAGAGTTGTTTCCTCTGGGACCCTTAGTTTCTGGACCCCCACCTCCCAAGTCTCAGCTAGCCTCATCACTGCCACCCTGGGATCTCACCCTGGGGCCCAGATGGACATTTCAAGTAAGACCAATGAGGAAAACACTGAAGAGAGGTCCAACTGGAATTTCAGATGAAGGATGCACATTTTATGTTTGTCCCAATACTGCATAAACATACGTTCTCCACCCACCCTGTTACATTTGTCAGTCCCCACTGACAAGGCCGTGTGCCCAGGCAAGATGCCATCCCCTGACACCCCTCTTTGCCTGCCCCTGCCAATGGCCCACCTGTCTGCTGGAACACACTGGCGAAAAGGCATTGGTGCCACACATGAACACCTTCCGGCCAGAAACGATCAGGACTCGCACATAGTTCTGACACTCCTCCTGAGGCAGGAAGGAAAACGCTAGACGGTCACCGCTTGTGTCTCCCTTGACTCCCTTCACCCTCACCCCACTCGGGCTTCCGGGGCAAGCGACCTCATGCTCACAAGGATCCCCAACCTCTCCTGAGACCGTAAGCTTCCAGCAGAGCTCCTGATGCCATCGGCATGTACCTCATACCTCAGTCTTCCCTTTGCTCTGGCAGGAGCGGCGTGTGTCCTCAGTGGAGGCCCACTCTGTAGCCTGTGGGAGAAACAGGGACATATCTGGTACACTCCCCGACACTGCTCCTTATGGCAAGGGCAGCCAGGGTCTGGGAGGACAGGAAGCTGGTGGGAAGCCTGAAGGTTTAAGGCTCTCTCTCCCAGCATCTGAAGTGTTTGGGGAGCTGGCAGAGATTCACCCAGAGGCCTTTAACTAGTGGGTAGTCCCTTTACCTGCCACCTTTTCTGCCTGATTGGGTTGGGGACAGCTAAAGGATCTTGGGCTCCAGTAGCCCCTCACAGTTCCCTGGGAACTCTCCCCAGGTCAGCTATGAAGCTGCAAGTGGAGAAGGAAGGGTTTTCAGTATTAGCCAAATCTTGGTAGGGGACAGAAATGTGTCTTCCTGAAGTCCCTCAAAGGACAGGGACGACCTGGGGTCACTGTTTAAAGGTTAGACTGTGTAAAGCTTTGAAATAGGAGTTATAATTTTTCTGCTAAACCCCTGCAACAAATTATCTTTCTCCCTCAATCTCTGTAGACACTGAGGTTCTCGGTGATGATTTAAAGTATGTGGTAGGCCGTGGGTAGGAGTCTTCATTTCCCATGTCATAGGCTGTGTGTGTTTGTGCCCTTTACCCCACTGTCCCCAGAGATGAAGATGTCTGCTTGCCTCAGTTGCTCCTCTCATGAAGTCTCTAATTCCCTCCTTCTATTTTTTTTTTGGAAGCACAATTTGAGGAGGACCTTGAACCTCTGATTCCCAGCCTCTCACTTCTGAGTTCTGGGGACACAAGTATCTCCATGACGCCCACTTTATAAAGTGCTGGGAATCAAACCCAGGCTTTTGTCTCCTTCCCTTCTTGACTCTTGTGACATCATTCACTCTGGAGCTAAGGGGCTGGAGACACAGCTTTCTCGTGCCCAGGGAAATAGAAAAAGGCTGTCTATAGAGAGAATTTTTGTGTATTGTATCGGTGCATTGCCTATTAATTAAAAAAAAAAAAACCTATGGGCTATAGGAAAAGTTAGAAAAGAAGGTGGGATATCTGGTAGGCAAAAAGGATTCTGGGATAGCACCAGGCATTGGAGATTTGGCTGGGAAGATGTGAGAAGAACGGATGCATGGTACCTGAGCAGAGATAACTAGCCATGTGGCAGAATGTAGGTTAGTATAAATAGGATATTAGTTATGAGCTAATCAGAGAAGAGTCTAGCTATATGGCCTAGGTATTTGTAAATATCTTTTGAGTCTCATGAGTCATTATTCTGGTAGCTTGGGACTGGGAGGAAAAACATGCACCTTGCTACAGCTGTTTCCACCCAGGACTCCTCCTCCATTTATTCTCTCCTCGTTTCTGATGGAACTCTTAAGGGAAGGATGACACTTCTTACCCAAGCAACTGTCAACAGTGATGACGTATAATCATGTACCGCTCCAACTGTCTTAGAAGCCCTGAGTAAGCAGATCTCTTTTTCTTTCTGTCTCCCCCCCCCCCCCATATACTGTGCTTTAAACTTCTCACGAAGCTGCTTTGCTAGATAATGGGAAGCAGGGGACAAGGAAGAGACATAGGGCTGTCTTTTGCTTTCCAGACTGGCACATCTACCTCTACAGAAGCATGGCTGCTTAGAGCAGAGAGAGGCTGACCTCTGAAGACCCTTACATTGGGGAACTGGTCTCCACTAAGCACGCTGGGTCAACCCCTCCAGCCCACACTGGAGCTCAGACCTGCTTCTTGGCTTTAAAGAAGGGCAGATGGCCATTAGGGTCTGGGTTTATCTGGATGGAAATAACTATACATTGTGAATCTCAGGCCCCATCAGGCCCCAGGTTAAGCCTCACGAGAGAGAAGAGGATAAATAAGAGTTCTTGGAGTTTCTGGGGCCAGGAAAGATCAATGACCCCCAAACACAAATGATAGGTGATGGTGAGCTGCATGGGGCTTTGGGGTTCCTGCATGGAGCACATTGAAGGGGCCAGCCTGTTCTTAAGGAGGAAGTGTACAATGGCACAGCCATGTGCCAGGGACTTGTGCACTCTGTCTTCAGTACAATAGGGAGAAAACTAAAGCCAGTGAGGTTGAACATTCTAATCAAGGTGACAGAGCCAGTAAGGAACACAGCAGCTCACTGATCCACGTACCAAGGAGCCTTCCTCCTCCTGTCACAGGAGCCAGATTCCATGAACCCAAGTTTACACCGTAAGGCCTGAAGAGAAGATGCCAGTTTATAGTGGTAACAGCACAGAAAGGGCTCTCTGGAGTCATTTTTTATTTGAAAATCATTTTTATCGAAGTAAAAACATAAAAAAAAAATCAACAAAACCGCTAGCAGCCCATTCCTTTCATGCTACGGCAGCTCTGCCTTACAGCAATCACTTCCTAGGTGAAGCTGTTGACAGCCTACACCCCAAGCAAGGGTGGAGAGGTGGCTTTGCAGTTAAGGGCATGCAGAGGGTGGGGTTCGGTTCCCAGCACCCACACTGAGTGGCTCACAATCACTTGGAAATACAGCTCCAAGGGATCTGACACTCTGAGTCCCCAGACCCATACCAAATACATAGCTCTATCTCACACGGAGCTTTAGACAGGAAAAGGCTTTCCCACTTGCCTCTCTCCATTTTACCTGAGCCCAGAGCACACCTACAGCTCCCTTCCATCCATCCTTTGTCTACAATACACGTTTTAATCAAGAGCCAACACTGGCATTCACAAAACTCTGAGGTTCTCTGACTGTCGGTCACTGTGGCACAAACCACGGTAAAAGAAAATGTGCTAGCAGTCAACACTTTCACAAAAATTTAAACCTGAATTTCTAGTGTGAACTTGCTGGAGGCGCTCCTATTTACATGTGTTTCTGCCACATATCAATCTTATACATTAAAGCAGAAGAAAATGTCAGTACAACTAAGTGTCTTTAACCTTCTCACATTCAGTGCACATCTCTTCTGAATTCCTTTCTGTTTGGAGCTGTCACTACTCATTTTGTTGCTTTTCTTTTGTATAGAAGATCATTCACTGAAGCACCCAGGTATCAGCAAGGAGGGAATTCTCAAAGTGCTTTGCTCTGGTCTGCGGTACTTTCTTCCAAGCCGCTGAACCTGTCCTACAGGTTTGGATGCGATTCTTTCTTGATCTTAACCAGAAGGTGTCCACAGGCCTCCTGACAGACCAATCCGGACTCACCTTCCTTCCTTTAATGATTTCATAATGACTGTCTAGACCAAGGGGCTGCTGTTGTCCAGTCAGACCTGCATGGATAAGGACCGCCTGCTCAGGCTATGGCAACTCCATCAGGACCGAAGTCTGGCCAACAGTGACTGCAGGATGCTGTCCACAGTGAGACACACCTGGCTTTAGACTCATTAAGTTGTGAAAATGGTTATCTGAAAGCCAATCCAGTCCTCGTAATATGAGACAGTTTTTCCTTTCTCAAACAACCTTCCCCATTGATTTTCCTCAAATGTCCCCAAAGAAATCCCTTTCCGTATCCTTTTCTAACTGTGTGCACAACTGATTCGGACAATCTATTCGTTCCCTTCGTCTTCTTCATATCGTAACTTCCCAGTGACCCCGTTATTTGAGAGGCTTCCTTCTGGCTGAAGCCAGGGACTTGCCTCTCTGCCTGCTGAAGCCATATTGCCCTGTTCTTGATTCACTTGCTTCCTTTGGCAGCACACATCTCCAGCATCTTCTTAAGGCAGAACATTGTGGATCAGTTTTTAAAGTTCACTCCTGTCTGATTTAGTCTTTCTTCACACTGATTGTTTTCATACAGAATTCTAGGTTGACTATAACTGTCACCCCGTTTTATAAACATTGATCCATGATCTTCTCCATTCTGGGATCACCCTTGAGAAGTCTGGTGTAATTCCTCCTACCTGTCTTTCAGAGGAGCCCCATTTTGTTTTATTTAGACTCTGAATCCTTATGCCTTTTTTTTTTTTCATGAGAATAGTGATTTTAATTTGACCTAAGTATGAGTCACTTTTGAGAACTCAGTTAACTTTTGATTTGAAGAAATGGCCTCAGTCTTGGCAAATTTCCTTCCACTTTTTTTGTCCTTTCTTCCTCATCCTTCTCTTTCTCTGTTTTGAAAAGCATATTAATCCAATCCATGGTTGATCAATATGCCTTGATACATTCTCTAGTTCCCTGGCACTTCCTATTTTTCATTTCTTAATTCTGTTGTTCTAATTTTGGTAGCCTTTCTTCAACTTTTATGTCTGAATCCTTCAATTTTTATTTTCTCAATTGCAGTTTTAGTTGTCATGCTTTCAATTTATTGCTTTATAAAAATATTCTCATATGTAAAGAGATACACATTAGTTTGTAATTAAATTTAAAATGTTTTAGGTTTCACATATATGCTCTGCTGCTTGCAGCTTGCTTGCTTTATCCTGTTTATTTTGGTCTTTCCTTTCACTTTAAGGCTTTCCCGAGTTGATGAATTTTGACTATTTGTGCATATATATATATATTTTAAAGCCACTGGGCATTTTCTGCAGAAAACAACCAAGGCTTCTTGAAGAAACGGCTAGTTCCACCCAGGGTAAGAAGTGTTCAAGGTGAGCTTAGACTATCCTGTCATTCCAGAATGCTAGAATGTCACATTAACTCAGTAGGATTGAGTAGAGGGGCCCCGGAAATTGACTTGAAGAGGACCCCCATTGCAACAGATGGGATAGTTATGACAGATAACAAGAGCCATGACTGACACACATCGACAAGTGTAAGTTCATGACTCAGAAATAATACTAATAAGTAAAAGAGGCTGGGGATGCAGCTCACTGGGTAGAGGGCTTAGTGTTCGAAAGCTCTGGGTTCGGTCCTTGCCTAGCACTGCATCAACCAGGCATGGAGGTGCAGATCTATTATCCTGGGACTTGGGAGGTAGAGGCAGGAGGACCAGAACTTCACCAACATCTTTGGCTACATAGTGAGTTCAAGGGCAGCCTGGAACACGTAAGACCCTGTCTCAAAAGATAGAGAGATAGAGGTATGGATGGATGGATAGATAGATAGATAGATAGATAGATA